CTCATGCCCTGCTGATTTCATTCCTACTACCTTGTTCATCAGGATGTTTGGCCAAACTGGCCCATGCATTGTAGATTTTATTATTTTATCCCTACAGTCTGGCTCTGTACCATCTGTTTTCAAACATGCAGTTGTTGAACATATCCTTAAAAAACCAAGTTTGGACTCATCTCAGCCTAAAAATTACAGACCCATTTCTAAATGACCATTTATCTCTAAAATATTGGAAAAGGTTGTGGCAGATCAACTGACTACTTTTCTGGAACTACACAGCACTTTAGATAATAAATTCCAGTCTGGTTTTCGTAAAAAGCATTCAACAAAAACCACTTTGCTTAAAGCTTCCAGTGACATCATGATGGCTGCAGACAACGGGGAGTTCACAGTGTTAGTATTGTTAGATATTTCAGCAGCTTTTGACACTGTTGATCACACCTTAATTAATAGACTTGGTGACTCGGTGGGGATCTCTGGAACTGTTCTAGACTGGCTTAGATCGTACCTGTCAAACAGAAGTTACAGTGTCTGTATAAACCAAATCATGTCAGATTCTACTGATCTGTTCTGTGGGGTACCCCAAGGCTCTGTTTTGGGTCCACTGTTGTTTCTGCTGTACATACACCCTCTTGGACAGATACTTGATTCTTTTCATAATGTCTCTTATCACCTATATGCAGATGACATTCAGCTGTACTGCTCCTTTAAGGATTCTGAGTTCTACAAACTGTCTGAATTACTAGAGTGTCTATCAGCTATCGCCAGCTGGCTAGAAGATAACTTCCTTCAGTTAAACTCTGAAAAGACTGAATGTCTGATCATTGCCCCAGAGAGCACGGTTCACTTATTAGTCTAAAACTTGGTAATTTATCCTCTGCCGTCAAGGCAAACTTCAGGAATTTGGGTGTTATTTTTGACCAATCAATGTCTCTTGAAGGTCACTCAAAAACATTATGGTCAGCAACTGTTTTTATCATTTAAGAAATATCTCCAAACTGCGAAGGTTGGTGTCAAAACATGAACCTGAAATGGTTCTCCATGCCTTTCCAACTTTCAATGCTCTACTTGGTGAAGCTCCTCCCTATATTACTGAACTGTTAAAACCTTATGCTCCAACCCGAGCCCTCAGGTCCACACACCAGAACCTTCTAGAAGTTCCAAAGACCAGACATAAAAGTTGAGGTGATCGCTCCTTCCAGACTGCTGCACCCCGACTCTTTATCCTTACGCAGCATTGACAGTCTGGACACTTTTAAAAAACAGCTAAAGACCCTTTTATTTAAAGCTGCTTTTACCTAAACCTTTTATTTTCTTATTTTTAACTCAAAATTTTAATCTTTCATCTGTTTATGAAAATCTATAATTTTATGACTTTGTTTTTTCTGATGTTAATCTAATTCTTTTTTGAGATCATTATGATTTTATGACTTTGTTTTGATCTATGTGAAGCACTTTGCGATTCTATGTCTGTGATAAATGCTATATAAATAAAATTTACTTACTTACTAATACTCATGCAGTCCAATCAGTGTCTTGCTATGTCACACCTGGGAGGTAGAGGGATTATCTTGACATGGGAGACATGCTCATTAATCCAGATTTAGACAGATTAATGCCAAATATGAGAGAAAGAGGCTTTTTGTGCACATTGTAAAATTTTTAGATATTTGAGTTCAGCTCATGTCTAACAGGGGGAAAAACAAAAGTTTTCCAGTTATAATTTATTCGAGTGTGTGTGTGTGTGTGTGTGTGTGTGTGTGTGTGTGTGTGTGTGTGTGTTAGAGTTGCATTTAAATAAAAATGTTCTGCTGTTTTTAAAACCAGCGCTAAAATCTTTGCAACATAATGTGACCTTTTTTTAAATTCCATTTCATAATGTCAACAAGTTGCTCTTGAGACAGTCTAAGAGCACAAAATAAATAAAGTACAGTGAGTCTGCTGCTTCCTGCAACACGATGACAGGATGGCACAGAAGCAGAATATTGAGGGTCACCTGTGTCGTCTCTTTTATTGAGCAGATTCACCTGAAGAATCCTGCCCTAAACAGCCTTTTGCTCTCGTAGCGGCTAAATTAAAACAAAAATAAGTGAAGCAGTAATAAAAAAGCAGGAGTGCTGAAATTAAAGTGTCAAAGGTCAAAGTTGTCTCCCCGTATTAAACACACCTGGATTATAGAAGCTTAGATGTGGGAGGGCTGAGAGAAGATAACTTGTTATTGCATTTGGAGGACTCAGAGGGGTCGACTGATGGGTGATATTAGTTGTTGAGGAAACTAAACGATGATTTGTTTTGCTGATTTTAATAGATGAGTCTACTCGGTGCGACTATTAATTACTAGTGGAAGTGAAGAGATGATATATTACAGTTTTTTTCGATAGCTAAAACTCAAAAAGCAAAAATGAGGCAGAATTTTCACAACCTCTACTTCTGTTCCCAATCGCTTGACTCAATTTATCACTACTTAAGATTTCCTTATCATATTAGAACTCTGATTTTCCTCATTTACACTCTGATGTCAATTTCACATTATTGCTGTCAAAACACAACACACAATTTTCAGGTTTACACACACTTCTCACATAAATTCTTAAAGCTTCAATCAACAACACACACATATTCAAACCTCTAAACTTTCATGTCTGGCGAGCAATTTGCAATTAGGGACTGCAGCATAAAAGTAAGTTTCCACAAGACTACCCAGGTGTATGAGTGGTTTCAGAACCACCCACGGTTTTCCATTTTATACCTTCCACCTTATTCCCTCTTCCTCAATCCCATTGAGGAGTTTTTCTCAGCCTGGAGGTGGAAGGTGTACGAAAGGACTCCACAGAGCCAGGTCCCACTGCTTCAAGCCATGGAGGAGGCTTGTAGAGATGTGGCCTTTGAGGCCTGTCTGGGCTTCATGAGGCACTCGAGGTGGTACTTCCAGCGCTGTTTGGACCAGGAGGACATCGCCTGTGATGTTGATGAGGCCCTCTGGCCAGACAGAGACTGTAGGCATGATGCCCCATGATTATGCTTGAATGGGAGAGGGGGTGGGGGGGTTAACTGTAAAAATAAAATGTTTAGTCTCAAAATTTGTGTGTTGTGTGTGTGTGTGTGTGGGGGGCGGGGGGAGGGGGGGGTGTTCACTGTAAAAATAAAATGTTTTGCCTAAAAATTTGTGTGATGTCTAATGTTTGTCTCAGAGAAAAGTGAGCACTGTCATACATTCAGTGTGTAATTCATTGTGTTCCATTTAGACAATTGTGTCTTCAGTTTTGCTCTTCAGTGTTCTTTCCATGCTTGATAGTGTTCACCCAACGGCTACTTGTGTTTAAGCAATGAATGGTATGTGTGTGTCATGCGGTGTCATGTGAAAAGGTGGCTGTGTTTACCAAATGAAAACACGTGTTCCATTTTGGGAACAAGTTACGATATGTGATGGCAGGGTTTTGTTGCAAAGGGAAGCCACGGTTTAGGAATTTGTGTGTTAGGTTTGGGGTTTTGTGTGTGCAGTTTTGAAAGAAACGTACAGTTTTGAAAAACGCGTTTTAGCAATCGAAAAAAACTAATGCTTCTCAGGTTTTGATTTTGTATTCATTTTTATTGTAGTAATAACTTGATGAATAAATATGATAACATTTAAGAGTTGATAATTTTTCCATTTATAAATCACCCTGGCGACAGTTTACTTTCATCTAACAGCTGCTTTAAATATGATGTTCTGACTTTATTTCCCTTTGATCAGCTGTAGCTGTTCCATTAAAGAGATACAGGAACACCAATAATAATAATAATAATAATAATAATAATAAGAAGAAGAATATGGCGCGTGTGAAAGTACAATGTTGTGAATGTTTTTGATTCAGGCACAATTACAAAACATTTTATGGATGGAATGTTTTTATAAAGCAACAGTTTAAACTTCTGAGAAAAATGTACTTTATCAATCCAAATCCCCATCTCCTTAACACAGTTAGTGTTCTCCTCAAAAAGTAGATGAAGGTAGTTGACGCATTTTGTCCTATGTTTTTATAATAAAAGTAATAAGATTACTTTACTAACAACATTTATGAAACGACATATCTATTTCTAAATATTTCATGCATCAGGTATGAAAGCCCTTAATATTGTCTATAATTTTACGTAAGTCTCCTTGGAAGTTCTGAAGTACCATGGGGGGGGGGGGGGGGGGGGGGGGGGGGGCTGAGGCCAGCTATTCTGTTAGCGAAGCACGTTTGAAAGATAAAATTACAAACACGCCTTCAGTTTCAAATTTTAGTGAATAAATACAACAATATAGTAACAGCAGTTCAGTTACAAATGGATATAAATGCTTTTCAATTAGTTGCAAAATATAAATTTTACAACAGATTTGATATCTAGTTTAGCGTCTCTTTTAAATTTCAGATAAACATATTCAGGTGCTTTAGTTCCATCTTGCATCAGATTCAAATATCACAAAAAAGAGTAATTATTTAGGCTTAGGCTCCGCCCTCAGCTGGGGGTGCACAGAGGGATCCAAGCATGCTGTCAGGGAGGCACTGGTCCACCCTGGAACTCACCTTAGAACCGCCCCTGTATGTGTATATGTATCTAAGTAAAATTAACATTTGTGGTTTTATTCCATAAACCACTGATAACATTTCTCCCAAGTTCCAAATAAAAACATCTACTTGCAAAAAACCATTTTCTGCAGTTTTATTTCCTCAGATAACAAAGCAAGCAAGTTTTCATGCATTTCTAAGATGCATCATAATAATAATAACTTAGAAGTTTAGAGATCAGTCTTGATTTGCTCTTCTAGCGCTTTTGACTTTATGCCTCTTTATGCAAAAAGTTCAAGCAGCTCATCTTGAGAGCATCCATCTTCATCTTCATCACAAACACGTGTGAGGATTGCTTCCCTGCACGTTTCTATTTCCTAACATATTTTAAAAGAATACTCTGGATTTCTGATCTGACTTTTCTCCAGAGGGAAGCACGCAAACCCCCCTGTGAGGTGGGAGGAGCGAACTGCGCTGGGACGCAGCACGACGCAGAATCAGTACCATCAAAACCTTTGGGTCTACCTCCAGCAATCAGACCGCCTGTACACCTGTAGTGTCACTTTTCCTCCCAACGCCGCTTGGATTCGGGAGCGAAGAGAAGAGGGAAGCAAGCAAACCAGTCAAATATGGTTGGAGAAGCTCGGAGGCAGAGCACAGGGACGACATAGGTAAGACATTTTATTCAAATGATGATCTTTATGAGGTGGAGATGTTTTTGTAACGAGAGGTTTGTCTTTCCTTCCTCATGACTGCGCGTAATGGATATTTGGCGCAGACGCATATGGTTCAGGTGCGTCGGTAATTTCCAAGGCTGCGATTAATTACAGCGAAATTCAAAATTAAGCTTTAATTCTAATAGTGAAGCATTATGTTTAAAAATTACCAGCATTTAAATTAACGTATTAATCCGCCTTTTTCATAGAAATAACTTTTGTCAGAAATAATTGTCGTAACCGTTCGGATATGTTTGCTCTCCATCCTTCTTAGGACAAAGAGGGTCGTCTTCTCTGAAATTACGATGCATCTCATCCGGGTGGTCCTAATTCTGCTCGTGACAGGCATGGTGAAAGGTAATCAGTGACTTTCATCAGACATCTGGCAGCGACAGAGTCACAATTACATCTTTTTATTCTCTGCACGAAACGAAAGACAGAAAATGAATACATGGTTTTAAATGTTTAATGTGTTTTTTTATTTTATTGCTGTTGCAAAATAAATAAATAAAACCTTTCTTTTTTTCTGTTTTGCCTCATCAGGTTGGGAATGCAGCGCAGGGTGCAGCAGAGAAAATGGGTTTTGCGAGAAGCCAGGGAAGTGCAGGTGGGTTTCTAAAATTACCTCAGATTCCTGCAGATGACGCCTCACATCCTACGGGCCTTTTAGACCGTATTTCCATAAACTGTTGTAGTAAATTGATCCTCATTTAGAGAAAAACTGGATTTTTATTTTCTATTTTCATCAAACCCACCGTTTTTCACCCAAATCTTTCAAATAGAGCAAAATCTATTTAATTTACTAGACTATTTAATCATTTTAAATATTTTTCTTTAATCAGGGACGAGGAGGGTGTGATGTGGGTGGGTGGGTGGGGGGGGGGGGGGGTGGCTATTTATAGTCCAGGTTGTTCAGATTTTAAAATTTTTTATTTTCCTTTTCGTCCTTGCAGGTGTAAACCAGGGTGGCAAGGAGAGAACTGTGATCAGTGCATGCCTTTCCCCGGCTGTTTGCACGGCACATGTGAGAAAGCATGGCAGTGCATCTGCAAACAGGGCTGGGTGGGCAGCCTGTGTGACCAAGGTCAGTCCCATTAAGGTCCCTGATGTTTATCTGCCTCCACCTTGGATATTGGAGCAAGTCACAGAGCCTTAGGGGCAGCTGATCAAATATGGGGAGCCAACTATTTCTATAAATGTGTGAAAGTTAATTTAAATTATACATGAAGGGGGTTGGAAAAAACATTTAAAATGGAACAATTGTATTAAATAAAAATTGTTTCAAAATAAGTAGCAAGTAAATGCAAAGGGAGGTTTCTCTCCCAGATTGACCCACTTATCCTCACATGCACTGTTTTATGCTCAAGCAGATGTGCTGATGGCCTGGTTATGTTTTCAGTCTTGTTCTTGATGACAGGATGCTGTGATGTGGAGAGAGTGGGAACAAAAGATGGGGGGTTGGGGGGGGGGGCAGCACAGACGCACAGAGATCTAAAAACGGCATCTTCTCCTTTTTTTTTTTTTTTTTTTTAATCTTCTTTACAACAGATACTCGCCTCTGCTCATCCAGGCCGTGTGCCAGTAATGCCACCTGCATCGAGACGGGAGAGGGGGGATACCTTTGTGTGTGTCCCCAAGGCTACGCTGGGAAAAACTGCCAGCTGAAGCAGGAAGTCTGCTTTACACACAGGTACTACAAACTTTTTATGATTATTCTCACAGTTTAAATCCTTTAGTGCTTTACGCCTTATCCTTGAGTGCAAATCGATCCACACGGCAAGATGTTTCAGTACCGTTCTGTTGCAGAGCGACCCTGGCACTTTGGGGCAGCAAACAGAAAATACACTGATTTATAATTAGATGAACATGCAGTGGAATGTCCTTTTCTGAAGATAGATCAGCATTTTAACTTTTATTTCTCTTTGTTTTGGAGGCTTTTAGAAAGTGATTTTAAGTCTTTAAAAGCACCAAAAACATAAAATTTCTTGCAGGTCTTTGAAAAATATCTTATTTTAAGCCATTTTAGGCTATTTAAAGCTCTAACTGAATGATGTATTTAAATAAGATGAGGTCATGTGGAAACACTGTTTTAAACAAAAATGATTTAAATAAGGTTATATGGAGGTACCAGCAGAACATTTTGAATCTTTAAAAAAAGCCTTTGTTTGAATTAACGCTGCAGAAGCTGAAGTGAGTAAAGTGATTATTTATGGAATTTAGATTAAATGAAATTGTGCTGTGGGCACCAATTAAATTTAGCTTTCAGCTTTCATGTCCCTAAAAACATTTTTCATCTTGATTTTGGTAGCTCTTCTCTTGAAAGACGTAGACTCCTTTATCAGTGACTGCCAGGCTGAACTTAAGCAGTTTTATAAACTACATTCCTCTTCAGAGCCTTCAGCCTTTCAAAGTCAGCATTTGAAGATCAAATTCAGCTAACACAGCTGTCACTTCTCAAAACCTTATTGAGAAAAACCAGACTTCCTTTGACAGCAGGATACTCGGATGTTCCCGGCTTCTGTCTGTGTGCACTTTTACATTAAGGAGACATCTTACAACTTTCTCTTATTGTAATTGTTTTGTGGTCAATTAAAGACACGTTCATGAAGTTCTTTGCATAAAGCAATTTCAAAAGTTTTATTCTTGACCTGTTAAAATGTGTTGCTTCAGGGCTCTGCCCCTTTAAAGAAAACAAGCTGTAGCTGGCCACGCCCACCCATCCTTTGATTGGCTGCTATTAGCTGAGAAGCTCTAATATGAGGGGCTCAGTAGAGCTGCTGATTCTCCAGCAGCAGCTCTCAAATGCATGTGATGGGTGGTTCTCCTATTTTTTTCCCTGTTTGTGACATCACAAATAAGAACTTTTGAAAACGGCTTGTTTGGGGCGCATCATTTTTAAAACCAAACACTGACAGAAAATGAATGAGTGGAGTTCTTTCACGTTTGAAGAAGAAAATATCATTTCTATAGCGCCTCTCAAGATAAAAATCACGAGGCGCTTCACAAAAACCAAAACAAAAAATATAAAAAAAACGTAAAAATATAAAAAAGCATTTAGAAAATGGAGGGTTTATGGAGGCAGTAGAGACCAACATGGCAGCACAAAAGAATGCATAAGGGGATTTTTGCATAAAATTGTCATCTTTTTCTTCATTCTCTGACAAACTAAGTAGTAAAGTGACATATCCCTTACATTTGATCAGATTTACAAAACCATGGGAGACCATTTCAGTTTAGATGCAAAACTCCTTGGGTAACGTTCATGAGCTGATGAGAACTAAAATTTTACTAAAGTTTCTTGCTGATCGACTGATGTTTCCAACTTTTTTGTTGGAGCACTTCTTCGAGCTACTGAAGTGTCCTTATTCGCTTCCGGATTACTGATGAATCCGATTCCCACAGGAATCCTCCTCTGCCCATCAGAATATAAAAGGCTCTTTGGGGATGCAGCTAGATGACAAGTGCCTTCAAACCTGAAGCCCTCCATAGTTTCTCTGTCAGGCAGCCCTGTTACTGACCTGAATGTCAAACCAGAATTCGCTGGCCTACACATAATTGATGGTGCATTGTCAGCTGTCCTCTTCCTCTTAGAGTAAGCTACTACACTTCACAGAGGAACAGCTGGAGCAGAGCTTGTTCTTGTGCCATTAATCAGCTCTGCTACTTGGCTGTCAAAGTGTGCCAGGACTGCTTTCCTTTTGACTCGCTGTGACAAGGTGTTAGGGTCTTGTGTAATTGTCTAAAGTACTGTTAGAGATATTGATTGGTTTCTGTCCCGGGCTTTTATCTTTGCATGCAGCTTGCGAAGCACGGCTGCATCGATCAGTCATGCCGCACAAGTTGGTGCTGGTAGATTATTTCAGAGGCAAAGCCAGGACTTTTTGTTTATATCTAGTCACGGGTTCAGATTCTTAATGTGCAGAAAACGAGCCATACTGCTTTCATTAGTGTCGGGTGGAATTACCACCTCCATTTGAGAATACCAATGAGCATGGGGGGAGGAAAATACCTAATTGTTAGCAAATATTACAAATTTTTTTTTATTGCCAAGTTTGAAACTCCCTATGATGTCAATGCCAAAACTCCTAAAACAAAGACTAGACTCACCTCTTGCATCAGGAAGAATCCGTGTGTTTCGAGCGTTATCCGTTCTTTCATAACCTGCTTCCTGGTCACGTGACGTCCGTGGATGAAGATCAGCTTTAGAGCTGGGTTATTCTCACTGTGCGGGGACTCGTTCTGACGCCCACACAGTAAAAAAATAAATAAAATGCAAATGACGACTTCAGTCGTCAATGGCAGTTAATGAGTTGAAGTGATATAGGTCTATACCTACTTTCCTCTTACTGTGTGGTTGTCTTTACTTGTCATCCAGAATCTTAATGCGAAGCAGGTAACAGACATTAAATTCACAGAGCAGCAGTGAGAAAGTAACTCATTTGATTAGGAAAAACGGCTGCAGCAGGTTTGACCACAGGATGTCATTGATTCATCCTTACATATTTTACCTTTAATCTGATCTTTAATAGTTTTTAGCTTGAAAAATTTAGATAAATGCAGATCTTGATTTTCTTAGGTAAAAGTTTTCTTTGAGAATCATTTAATCATAAAATCAGCTTTGTATCAAATTTTGACTTGATCAGTAAATTTGAGGACATTTAGGTGGTTTTTTTTAAGTTGCAAATGATTAAAAAGTTTCTCTTAAATCCGGTTGAAATATGTCCCATCAATTTTCCTCATTTATATTCTGCGTTGCTGTGAATCCTCGTTCTGTGTTTTGTAACTACTCCAAGAGGACGAATGTGTCTGGACTGAACTTAAATAATAAATAGCAGACCATATTTTTCTCTGCAGAGGATTTACATTGTGCTGCTCTTGTTCTCCAGCTCTCCTTGTCAGAATGGAGGCACATGCATTGATGCCAGTGGCTCGGCAGCTTACCCTTCCTGTTTGTGTCCTCCTGGATTTTCCGGAGACTTCTGTGACATTGCTGTTGACAGCTGCCAACCTAACCCCTGCCTCAACAGTGGCAACTGCACAAACCACGGCCTTGCTTTCACGTGCGTCTGTCCTCCTGGCTTCACCGGTTTCACGTGCAACGACACCACCAGCCTGTCCCCCTGCGCTGGTGGGCCCTGCGCCAACAAGGGAACCTGCGTCGGTCAGCCTGATGGAACCTTTCGGTGCATTTGCCAAAAGTGGTTTGCAGGCCCCACGTGCTCCCTTTATCACAGACCAAAGAGCAGATCCAAGCCAGCTGGTGCCAGGCCGGTGGACCACAGAGTGTTTGCTCTGGCTCCACAGCACTACTCCCTCCCAGCTCACGCGTTTCACAAGCTGCTTAGACCACCAGAGAGAGACCTGCTTAAGATCACCCTAAAGGAAACCGTGCACCCTTCTGGCGTCCTCATCACCCACGGTCAACTCATCTGCTTCGGCATGCTGGCTTTGCTCACCTGTCTGGTTATCTTGGGTACCACCGGGATCGTGTTCTTTGGCCGCTGTCAGATGTGGCTCGCTAACGCCAAGTACAGCCAGCTTGTTCGGCAGCAGCGGGAACATCTGCTGAAAGAAGTTGGCAGCTCAGGCCAGGAAGAGCCCAAGCACTCGGTTAACATCATCCTGCCAGAAAAAATTAGACTCTCCAGCTTTGGGGGACACTACACCTCCATCTGATTTACCATGCCTCCTACTGTTATCTGCTCTCCGAGGACAGTGCATAATGAATGTCCCTCGACACTGTCCCTGCTGTGCAGTTGTGGACTTAAGACACTGGACTATGTGAATGTATAGTTCTGGATCAAATGGATAAAAGTAAGCTGGATTGTAAAAGTGTCCATTGAGTCATAGTTAAAATAAAATCCATTAAAACGTTAATTGATAAAACAACATTGTGTGAGATGTTTTGGATTTTGAAAGCTGTTTCTTTATCTCTACTTTTAGCCCATGTCTGGACAAAGTAGACTTTTTAATTAAAGTTGGATTTAAATAAGATAACCATGCATGTGACCTCTACCACTTAAGTTTGTAATTAAACTGTTTTATTTTATTCATGCTTGGATTAAAAACCAGTTCTGTGGTTATGTTGGGAAAACTCATTTTAACTCATTTACAGCTATGAGTTTTTAATTAAAATGGTGTCCATCACCATGGAACATATTAATGTGACCTTAGCTCACATATGTGCTGATTTGTGACCTTAAGTAGTGTCATTCATTTTCTTGGATACAAATTGCGTCATTAGTTTTTCATTTCAATTGTAAAATCTTACAATGTATGGTTAGACATAAACTTGTAAAAATGTGTTTTCCCAAAGATTTATTTTATTCTAATCTGTTTATTTTTTCAGTACAACTAACTCAGCTCTTGTTAAATCTGCAGATTTAAGCTCTATGTTCCTGCCAGTGTTGTGTTAAATGTGTTTGTATATACAGCAGTGAGCCCTGATGTACTTTTGCAGTTTTGCATAATTTATGCAAAAATAATTTGGCAGTTAAGATGGGAAAACTGTTTATATTAAATATATAGTACGATCTGAAATGCAAAAGCCTCCTCTGTGATCATTAGACTAAAGTGAATTTTAATAAGATGGATAATTAAGTTAATGGAAAAGTTTTATATTGTGTCATCAAAAGTTTAAAAGCTACTTTCAATATTTATAAAACTTATATATTTAGATTTTTTTTTTTTTTGCATTACAATGCATTTTTTCTTATCGGTTTACGCCACTTGAACAAGCGTCTGCAGAGTTCATGAAGTGCATTAGCTGGTTTTAAATGTGTCCTGTAGCACCACCTAAAACCTGCTCAGAAAACCAAACATCTGCTCTTTATTCTGCATAGAAAATGAATTCCTGGAGCAAAATTATCTGTTAAATGCCAACATGCAGGTGCTTCCCTGATCTCGGATCTAACAGTCTTTGTCTCCACCTTGTGGTTCAGCTGCCTGCTATTTTACCCTTCCTATAAATGCATTTTTTATTTACTCCATGTTTTTTGTCAATAACAAGATGTCAATTCAAATTCTATAAGTGATAACAAAAATGAGAAATTTATATAAATTACTCATATTAAATATATATATATATATATATATATATATATATATTTATTTATATATATATCTTCCATTTAGTTTTTGTTAGTTTAACATTTGAAAGAAAAAGTAATATTTAAAACATTCGGCATGAATATGTACTTGCGTAGATCTATCTGAGATGGGCAAATGAAGAAACCCACAGGAAGCTCAGAAAATGTCAAATTACACAAAAAAGACAGAAATAAAATCACTAGGGATGGCATGACAAATAATTTATGAAGGGAAGAAATCACATCAGTTAGCATAAACAGGAATACACAGTTTAAAATGACCACAAACAAATGAACGGTAAAAATCATAAAATGCAAATTGACATGTCATTTGTTCTTTTCATACGGGATTAACCATTAATGAGCTGTTAATGTTTCAATATATGCATCTATGCTGGATTATAGCACATATGAGACAAAGCAGACATCACAGACATACATGTTACATTTCATACACTAACAGGTCAACGGTTAAGGGTCACATAGCTGGTTAGATATACAATAAGTAGGAATTTTACAGTGAAATAATCAAATGGCATCATTACATCTTAGCTGGCTTTTTATTTTTTTGTCTTTTTATGAAGGCTGAAGACGGACGTAGTCTTTGTTTACTTTTTGTGAACCTGCAGGGTTTCTGAGTCTGTACTGACATTTGTAATTCGACACCGGTCGACAAAACAGTTTTGTAAAGATCCTAAACCAGTTAACTGGAGCGACCCAGAAGTTATTTCTTGTACCCCTAAGAAGCCACAACATCTTTTTGTTTTACTTTATCGGGTTAAGCAGGCTAGATGCTAACATTGAGCTAGCAATGCTAACGGCCAATTAGAGTACTCAGCTTTAAAAATATCAAACTACTTTTTCCATTATCAACAACTTGATATTACGATGAAGCGTAACCAGGACCCTTCCCCCGTAAATGGCGACAGCCATGACGCTCGCAGACGAGAACGAGAAAGTCATTTTTGTTTTTGGATAAATAGACTGCAGTTCCCAAATTTGACGCCACAATGTCATTTTTACTTCAGGCACCTTTAATGTGGCATAAAGTAAAACTTCTGTATGATAAACCTTTTGCAGCTTCAGGGTTGTTGTTTTGGTTACATGCAAAATGTTGTATTGGATATGTTGCAGGCTCCGACGGTCTGGAAAACACAGTTTTATAGAAATGTTATCATTTGAGGTTTTGATGAAACCACATTTTGGTCTCCGTCTTTATCAGAGTGTGCATTGAACATGACTGAGAAAAGATTTTTACAGAAAAGTATTAGTATTACCTCACATTATTACACCAATATTAAAAATCTTACCTCTTTTTGCCCTGAGTATACAAATAAAACCCTTTTGTTGCTCTTTCTGCAGCATGCATACGCTGGAAACTTCTACACCTTTCTCTCTCACAAATTCCCATTGCTCTTAAGCCTTCCCAGCAGCAAGAAATCAGTTTAAGTGCAAGTTTTGTGTTTGGACATATCTAGTCAGGCCTGAAGCTGTGCAGCTCTAAGTGCAGTCCCAGAGTCCGACCACAGGGTGTCATCCATCTCAAAGTGCAGCCAGGAGCTGAGGAAGCTTACTGGACCGATTTTGTTCGTACTTATTATCTGTAACTAAGTAACTAAGTTTCACATATTTAGCCTGAACAAATTCCGGTCTGGAATGTTGGTTTGTGTCTTTTAATAGACAACTTTTCATCTTGTATCCGGGTGAAATTCTGTGTTTTTGCTGAAAACGTTTTTCTGAGCCTCGAGTAAAACAAGCTTTCAATCAGAGCTACTTTTACGCATAAAGGCGCCTCTGATCTAAACAATCTGTAATTTTTATCAGTGTGAGTACGACTGTTCAGAACATAGTTAAGTGTTACACTGAAACCTTTTTGTGTGCGGAGGCCCCATTCAGCTCCCCACCACCAGACATTCATTTGTAGAGTTATGACCCTAGGGAGAGAGGGGCCCTCACCTTCAAAGCTGACCAGGGAAGCAGAAAAAAAACACCTCAGCAGAACCATTCTGCTTCCTTCGAGTCATAAAACAAAGCAAAACAGCAAAAGTTAAACCTCTCCTCCCAGCTCGGGACCCTTAACCCTTTGTACCCGTCTGCTACTCCGCGGACAGATGAGACTTAACATCCGTGGAAAGAATCACACATGGAAAGAATCCAGATCCAACGAATTCCAGTTTGGGGTTCCTGTTCAAGGGAGCAAGTTACATTTCATTTAGGCAGGTACCCCTCGGTCAGCTGTCAGCTCCACGTAAATACTCAGTGTTTCTGCGTTAAATGTGTTCCAGATGAGACGTTGAGTCAGGTCATGGCAAAGACCCTAAAGTAAGACTGGTAACATGGGCTTTAAGAGCTTAGGGCTTTTGTCATAGTGGAATTGATTGTATTTTGTAGCAAATTAAGTGTTTTGAATTGAATAATTCACCACTGAGACCCTCTAACATCTCATCTTCTGATATTTCCCCCAAAATAAAATCGCACAGCAATTAATTTAGAGTCACAGGAAAAAGCGTAAAGTCATACAGTTACACAAAATTATTTATAATAACCGTTAAGATCACAATCTTGAAGGCTCACTGTTGAAATAAACAAAAATCTGAATGGACTAACTTTATTGTAATACTTTATGTCACAGATGCTCTGAAAAACATGAATATTTCAATTTCTAAATGCCGTCTGAGAGTCTGAAGGGCCAAGAAGCACTGTGCTGTTTATTATGACAGCAAACATTGAAGCCATGGAAGGAGTTTCTTCTTCTTGATATGATGCATTCACATCAATCCAGCTGCAGCTTTCAAACATGAAATAAAAAATAAGCATCGTTTTCCAGCAAAAGATGGCTTTATTTAACATGTTTTATGATAATGTCATCATTTCTTGTCACTCTGGAGCTGACTGGTGCTTTTAAAGCTGGACAGACAAACTGAGACATGAGCAAATTAAAATATATCACATGTCCACATAAAGGCTCTGTCAGCTTTACTGTCTGGCTTCACAAGTCCTCCGAGTCCTGGCTTCTGTTGGAGTTTTCATCCGTGCCGTATCTGAAGCAGTATGAAGGAATTTTCCCTCCAGCTTCAGCAAAGCTGAATGAAATCCCTTCTAGGAAAAATATAAAAAGAAAGATTTGATTTACTGCTCCCCGGTTGTTTTGCAGTCTGCCTGGAAGCTAATGGATACTTTTAGATTCCAAGAACTCTGTTACGCCTCTACTTCTAGCACTGTTTTCCTGGATATGCAAAGATGTGGAGACCCTTATAAATAGATACATCCCTCTGGCAAAATGGGATCAACTGATTATCCTCATTCAGAGGTCAACGAGTGAGAAAGGAACTCTAGGAAATAAAAAGAGGAGCTTCTGCTGCAAAGACTTAATATTATTATAAAAACAAAGTAAAAATTTGACAGTTTTTTAGGCTTTCAGTATCTGATTTTATCAGATTTGATGCTTTCCAGAATTTCAGCAGCTGCAAAATGATTTTATTTTGAAATAATCCATTTTGAAAACTACATTTCCCACCTTAAAACATCTAATCATTGTAAATGTGAAAATAAAAATAATGAAAAAATAATATGTATCGTGTAATACAATAATTAGTTTGAAACAAAATCAGTTGATCAAAAAACATTTATTGAATGAAAAATACATCAATTAAATAGATTTTCTCTAACAAAACATGCTGCCATGAAGGACAGAGAGCTGCTCATCCAGCCTGCTCTCCAGTATAAAACACATCAGTGCCGGTTTTCTGGACTCTTTCCGTTTAAAAACCGAACTTCACAACTATACTGGGGAGAAAGGTGATGCACATCTCTGATGGGAAAAGGGCTGAAAAAAAGAGTTTGACAATAAAAGTACTTTTTGCGTTTGAAGAAACAAAAAACAGTGGATGAATGAGTGAATAAATCTCTAAATATTAACATTAAAGCTGAATACCTGACAAATACATGTTGGATAAATTCAGATTTATAAATATAGTTGCTGAAAGGGTCTATTTAAACGGAGTTTAATCAACATTTATGACCAGATTATTGGGAGCTTCCAGCTTTTTTCTGTGTTGGTCCAGCCAGTCTCTGAGCTCTGAGATCCGGTACCCTTCAGGTCCCCTGCCACCTTGGTAGACCACCTGTCCCTCTTGCACTACATAGAGTCTGTTAAAATAAGCTCCATACGCGGCGCTGGAGGAGTTCTCCATGCTGTCCGCCACCACCAGGCAGCCGGGTACCTCCAGGTGGATCAGCTGCGCCGCGTTCAGCCTGTCCTCCAGACACCGGTGCCTCGGGATCTGATACGGCGCGTCAGTGCTCACCCAGCCGTCAGAGGGATGCGCTTCTTCAATGTACACCACCACAGAGTCTGCTATGTCTGCGTTCTGCCGCGCAACCCCCTGGAAAGCCTTCAGACGCGACATGAACGGCGGTCAGGTGCAGCTGCCAAAGTTGAGGATGAGCGGTCTCTTGTCAGCGGCGCACTCCAGGATGCGTCTGCGCCGCTGGTCCTCCAGCTGGACCACCTCCGTGTTTGGCGCACCTTGTCCAAGATGCGCTGCTTTCAGAAAGTCCAGCTTCTGTCCGTGCCAGACAGCTTTAAGGGACTCAAAGCTGAAGAGGCGATTGGAGTCCGATATGCAAAGAGGAGGATCAATGGCATCTCCTCCCTGCTCTTTCATCCTAAAAAAAAACCTTTTCCTTATGCACAAGAAGTCCAGCAGCCAGAACACAACGGCCGCCATCAGGAAGCGGGGCAGCAGGACCAAACAGACTACTGCATTTTTAATGGCTTTGATGGTGTTCATCATCACTTATCATGACAACCTGCGTCTCGCGCTGCGCCTCGATCCTGTAAGTTGAAGTTGGGTTACTTGCAACTCCCGCCCCTCTTTTATAGCATCGGCACATTTGAATGAATTACAGCCCGCCTCCAAATTGGGACCGAGGCCCCACATGGTGAGATTACCTGTCATGTCAAAGGTTTAAGTCACACCAGAGCGGAGGAAATGGTGCGTCACGGCGGCGTGCCGTGCGTAATCGTTCCAACACTAGGCGGTAAGAATCTGAAAATGAAGTCTGATTTTGATAACAAAATTCACAGAATTTTGGCAAAAGTTACAATTTTAATGTTAAAATGTCTAAATTTTAAAATTTAAATAAAATCTCAGGAGTTCATGCTCTTCTCCCATTACACAAACTCAATGGAATAGTGTTGTTTCTCTTAGTCATGCTTTTAAACTCCAGCTCACACCAGTGTTTATTTGGTAAAGCGTTACCAGAACCCTTCAGCACTCAGACACCTCAACAAAAGAAAACCAAGCTGTGCTTATGGAACAACATAATCTGTCTTTGGTCATCAACAGATGTTTTACCACAGCAGATTTAATTATCTCTGTGGTTGTTTTGTGTTATGATGTCTCAAAGCGCTGGGGTTTAACTGCTGAAAAGCATAAGAATATTCTAGGAGACTGAAACTAATTCATCATGATTTGAAACTAAACAAAGACTTAAGTAAAAAGCTCTCAAGTGCTGCAACTGCAAATATGGAAACACAAAATGTGCAAATCTTAATCAATAAGAAACTTGATGCAAATAAATGGCAGCTTCAATGACCAATGATTTAGAGGCGGTGTTTTAATTATTTCTTCATTTGTTTGCAGTTAATCTTCATTTTAATTGTAAGATTTTTATGCTCATAGTTTAAGATTTTTGTCCGCCAACCCTTCCAAAGGTTGCCTCACCTTCTCACCCTTTCTGACTAGGAACAAAAATGAGGAAGTTTTCAGCAGGGTTACAGATTCCTGCAATGACCAAAAGTATTGTGAGAGAAAGTTTTTCACACAATTTTTTTTTCAAACTTGCTCAAAATTCAAGCAAACCCCCCGTTCTGCAACTCGCAGAGAATTTGTGAGCTCTTTAATATTTCAGGACATCTCAAAGACTCAAGTTGAACTGGTTTTAGCTCAGAGAGCATCTGTAAGATAAAAAAAATGTGTAAGTATCAAAAGCTCATTTCTTTGTGATGACTGTAGTATATTTTTTGAATTCAGCAACATAATAAACTTTTAAAAACTGTTTTGATGTTATCAGTCCTTTAACATTCCCTTGAAGTACCCCTGTCTGAGTAAACTAACAAATGACTTTTTGCTATAGAACTGGTTCAAACTCTAAATATCTTTAGCGAGTAGACGAACCTCTGCTGCAGTGTGAAAAGTTGGCTAATTATCAGAAAATATCACAAATCCCAGTAACTCAGAAATGACTTTCCAAGCGTGAATCCGGATCAAAAACACAACAGCTGCCTTTTAACCTGCTGAATGAATATTCAAGTATTTTTCCATTTGCTCTCTCGGCTTAGCGCTTGATTTGAAGTCTGTGAGGTGCACATTAATGACCATTGATATTAAAGTCTGATGCTGACGTAGCTGAACTATCTTCTGATAATTTAATAAAATCCAAATCAAAAATGATTTATTTAAAATATTTTTTGTTTTGTTGAATTTGGTGTTCAATTAGGCTAAAAAGAATATTATTTTTCTAGTCGAACAAATCAGAAAATAGCAAGAGCAACATTTGTAGATAACGACTGATGTTTGGTAACACTTTAGAATAAGGGTCCCTTTGTTAATGTTAGTGTATTAAATCAAATCAAATCAAATCAAAGATACTTTATTAATCCCACAGGGAAATTAGAGTTTCAGTACACACATTTCAGAGATCAGACATACATGGGCTAGACACATGACAAGAATTGGTGACTGTGGTCATTCGCAACCCTGAGTCACGCTACCTTAATAGAGATAAGAGGTTATACATGAGGATTGGTTCAGGTGGAGGGAAGAAAAAGGCACTTCAGAGTTGCCCTCCCACCAGGAGGGCAGCACACCTCAGACAGAAATGTAACAGACTTCAGACATCACACAACATAAGTGTCCACTAGGTGGGGTGGTGGGTTGGGACTATACCCACTTCCATTCCTGCAGCCACGATACGCAGCGCAGTAACAGTTTAAGCATTAATAAATTATTAAAGTGATTATGTGTATTTTCCCTGACAATAGGGGGCAGTCTAATCATTGCAAGCAAGCAGTATTTTAGTGTGCCAGTAAGACCTTACCAACGGATGGCCATTAGGCTCAAAAATCTCTGGGAGCACAACCTCAAGCAAAATAACAAACACATCCGACTCCCTTTCATCACTGGCAACGAGCGAAGGGGTAAAGGTGTAAAAACAAAAAATGCTTATGAATGATGAAAGTTTTGTAATCATCTGTTACAAATCACTAAAAGCATTTTGTCCTCACTGGCTCCCGTAGGAGGAAACGTGGCATCTCATATGACGGTAACAGACCTGCTTTCATGCATTTTAGACCCAATTTTTTATGCTTACATGATACAAAGCCGCCAATGTTTTCCAAAAACTGGGCATCGTTTAATTCAGTTTCAACATTTCGATTGATATTTCCAGAGATTAACGGTAAAAAATACACATGGTCACTTTAACAACTGCTTAAACATTTCATGTAATGCATTACTAAGCAGACCCCCCCCCCCCCCCCAACCTTAAAAACACTTAACAATAACGATAATGGTAATAAAAGCCCCCATTGTTTATTAATGTGCAATAATGCACTAAGTAGCATTAATAAAGGGATGAATGTTGTAAAGTGTTACCGAATGTTTTTTTTAAATAATAAGTCTTAAATTGGCTCATAAAAAGCTAATCATAGCTCACTGGTGAGTTTAGGTGAACTCAGTCTTACATTTTTTTAAATGAATTGACTTAAGTTTTTCAAATCATCTATTTTTCTCCCAGTGACCCACATTCAGTAAAACTTTTAGCTCTTAAAAGTTTCCACAATTTCTTATAAATTGTATCTTTGGGGGGAAAAAAAAACGTAACAGTTTTAAAACCGGAACTGATTAAAATGTGTTGAATCACATCTCTTTTTAAGCCATTGAAACCCACCCACTCACCATTAACATTGATGACTATGGTAAATCCACACAGAGATTAACCTAATGACTTTGTGTGGGTGGTGTGTGTTTTACACAGCACTCTTTTCTAAGTCTCTGTGGTGTCACGCAGACTCAACATCTGGTCAAACATATTAACCATATCTGGCCCCCCAAAAAGTCGTTCACTGCTCCGATGTGGTGGGTTAACAAGGCTTTCCATGTCTGGTTTGGTTCTAAGCTCCTGTTACAGTTTCAGGTCATAGTTGACTTCCATGAAGCTGACATGTAAGGAGACCTCGTCTCTCTGTAGGTTAAAGTCGCTACGGAGACTCAGAAAGCAGATGGCAGGCAGTCAAAATGCAAGTTGATATGACTCTCTGCTTATAGTTCAGTCCTACAAAGATGCCGATAAGCACATGAAATAATCTTTAAGGAATGTTTCTGTGTCGTTTATTGGGAATTTTCTTCTTTTTTCTGTCTGAATCCATCCATTTTCATCCACTTATCTGGAGTCGGGTTGTGAGGGCAGCAGCCTAAGAAGAGAGGCCCAGATTTCCCTCTCCCCAGCCACTTGGGCAGCTCTTCTGGGAAAATCCCAAGGCGTTCCCTGTCCAGCCGAGAAACACAGTCCCTCCAGCGTGTCCTGGGTCTTCCCTTCAACTCCAGGTTGGATGTTCCTGGAAGACCTCACCAGGGAGGCATCCAGGGAGCAACCTTACCAGATGCCCGAGCCACCTCAACTGGGTCCTCTCGATGTGGAGTAGCAGCAGGTCGACTCTGAGCCTCTCCCGGATTACCGAGCGTCTCACCCTATCTCTAACGGAAAGCCCAGACACCATGCAGAGAAAATTCATTTTGGCCACCTGTATCCGCGATCTCGTTCTTTCGGTCACTACCCAAAGCTCATGACCATAGGTGAGGGTTGGAGCATAGATCGATGGGTCGGGCTCAGCCTCAGGAACATCCAGGACAAATTTGGGGTAAAACCACTGTTTTGTTGTTGACAGAAGCTAGCTGAGGTGGTTTGGGCATTTGATAAGGAAGCCACTTAAACAATAATAAATAAATCAGCCATAACAGACCACTGCTCAAGGGAAAACCATATAATGGACTGGGACAACACATGGATCATAAACACCAAACAACAAAAATACAAAAGATGGAAGGATGCCATAGAAATAAGGAGACATGAACACACAACCATGAACAGAGACATTGGGATCTACACATTGGATCACGCATGGGACTGTGTCATCAGCGAGGAGTGCGCGGGAAACAGAGGGTGGCATCGTCCTCTGCTGCCCACCAATAAACGGAGAAGGAAGTGCTGCTGCCAACAGCGGCGAAACTCTGAGGAAGGCTACAGTGTTAGTCGAAATGCCAGCGAAACGTAAAAACAACCCTCTTGCTGTGTTTAAAAAGAACCAAGTTATGTACAAAAGATGGACTTTACTTTCTTTCTCATTCAAGTTTGCAAAAAGTTCCCAAGTTCCTTTGCCGTGGCGTCCTTCACAGTCAGGATAGGGATCATTTTATTTATCAACCAGAAACTGATAGCCTACCGATAGCCAGACATCTACCAGATGATTTAGCTTTCTTTCCTAAAACTTTTCAACAGAAGATTCAAGTGATCCCACCGTTAAAGATACTCCGTATGTGTCATGATCCTGCCATGCCCTGACCTCCATGCACCATCATTCATCTCATCAGCCTTCATGCATCACTCTTGGTGCCCTCATCAAGCTCATGCCACACACCTGCCTCACCAGCTATATATTTCACAGTCACCCACCAGCACTCTGCCAGATTATTGAACGCTCCTACTAGTAAATCTTCCAGCCTTTTTCATCCTGCCTGATCATAGCCTCCCGACCTCGTTTTCATGCCTGACCCTCGCCAAGAACTCTGCCTCCCTCCACAACCTTCGCCTGTCTTCGACCACGTCTCTCGCATGCTCCTTGTACCTGCTTCGTCTACCTGGTTCTGACCCACGCCTGCCTTCGACTCTGCCTTTATCTGGGTTTTACTCCGGTAACACTTCCTCTTAGCTTCAGGCTAATAAAGACAGTTAAATTGTTTTACTGTGTTTGGTGTCATCACGGGTCCTCAAGTTCTGGTCATTACAATATGTTCTCAAAACCAACTTCTAGTTAGGCTAACTTTTTAGTGGCGAAAAGCTAACAAGCCTTTAGTTTAGCACCAGTGCTTGGAGTACAAAACAAGAAAATAAAAGGCAGAGGTGGCCGTATTATCTTTTTTAAACATTTGTTGTGCTTAAATCCAGTTACTGCAGCGACTATTCTGAGCAGTTACGGATCGGTTCGTCTATCCGTGCACTGTCAGATGCATCCAAATATGTCCCCGTGAGAACGAGGATACTGGGTTTCCCTTTCATCAATACTTTGCTGCGTAGAAGGAACGCAGAAATTACATCAGTGAGTACAGCCTGCTCCTGCTGTATAAGTGTGTGTGTGTGTGTGTGTGTGTGTGTGTGTGTGTGTGTGTGTGAATTCGCTTTAGAGGCAACTCCGTTTTCTGATAAATTTTATATTTTGCTTTACTTTTTTCTTTACTTCACAACAAGCAGCTGGATATCAGCGGTTTTTCTTGGTCTGTTGATGTTTTTTCATTGTGTTTTTGCTTTAAGCCCAGTTTTTGTGCTGGAGCAGGGAAACAACAAAAACATATTTTTAAATTAGGCATCACTGATTTGACTTCAATAGCTGGTGGACCAGTTTCAGCTCAAAATGACCTAATTGGTTTTTCATTCCAGTCCAGTTCTTGTTCTCATCTTTCATTTTGTTTTGTTTTTTCCAAAATGTAATACTTTTGTACATTAATGGCAGAACTGATCATGAAATCACTTTGTACATTTGCATTCTACATTTTTGTCATCAACCGATAATTTGATGGCAAATATTTGGTCTTATTTGTTTATCCGGCCTCTCTGTTTCTGTAATTGAATACAGTTGAGTTTACCCACTTTTGTTTAAATCTGTGAGCACGTCCTCCAGCTACAATCATGGATATTTTCTACAGTAAACAAGATCATTGGGCATTTTTGCATTTGATGTGTTTTGCATTAATCAAGAAAAAATATCCAGCATGTGATGACAGACCGCTTCATTTTGGTTGCAGCTTATTTAGACAGAAAAGCTTATTCATGCCTTCCCAACCTGACTCATGACTGCTCAATCTGGCAAATTTTGGTTGCAAATCTGTCATCCCTTTGTTTATCAGCTCTTTTGCTTTAGACTCTTTCTGTCTCTCAAATTCATTTATTTTAATAGATATTTTTAACTAGTCCCTTTTGCATAGAGCAGTTGTCCATATGTTGAAGGACTTTGGACAGAACCAGAGACTTTTCCAACCTTACCTCCTATAAACCATGCTGGACTCTTGGCCGTGGTTCCAGGTTTATGTGAGGATAAT